ATAGGAGAAAAATGCTTCACAATATGTTTCCAGAAATGAGAAGATGAGAGAACATGCTCAGAAGCAAAAGTACAGGTGAATGAAGCATGCTGACAGCCAAAGATAGTGAGATTGGTAAAAATAAGGATAGCTTGACAGACAACGAATCCCTGTGGGCATGTGATGACCTTTAGACATCAAGAAACAGTAAGTAAACATCAAGGGGCAAGGTAGCTTATATTTTATTGGTAATAAACTAGATGAAAGATCATATTTTAAATGATATGCCTTCAAGCATGTGCTATATCAAGGTGTTGACAGCATCATTTTTCCAAGAGATGAGCAAGTAAATTTAAGTAGTTTCCAAGTAGTAAGTATCTTGATTACCAAGGAGCAATGGGATGTAAAGTGTGGCCAGTGGAAACAAATGATTGATAGCTTCCTCTTAACACTCCTGCCTTTACTTTTCTCTGCACGGCTCATTATTCTGCCACATTAATTTAAGCTTTCTTACTGTATTGAATTAGGGGCTTAAATTCTCTTATCATCCCTATGGGAATTTTGATTGTTTATTTGTAGATGACAATAATTGTTTTTATCGATCCCCAAATGTAGAAGGTGTAAAAAGTGCTATAGCTGATGGCCAACTGGTACATAGTTAGGGCTGCGTGCACAAGTGACGAATTACAAGACAATATTTGGCCCCAGAGGAGACCCTTTAGGAATTTTTAAAGCATCTTATAGTTATTACTAGTTCTCTTCTATCTGAAAAGCATAAACAATTTCACATATGTCAGCTTAAGTCGTTTTGTTGTTTTTATTGAACCTCAAAAGGTCTACTTGAGTAAAATTTATATATCCTTATTTCTAGTACATCCACACAGCAGGAGAGTTTGGAATGGTGTAGCTACAGAAATTCCCAGGGCCAGTGCCATCCAGGCCCAATGAGTTCCATTAGAGACCCAGATCACCAGGGCAATTATTCAGAAGAATTCTTGGATTAATGTAGCAGTTGCCATTATGCCACTGCAAGTGTCTTTAGATGACATTAGCTCCAAGTATTTTGAGAAGAAACCACTTTGCAGTCACCGACATGGGTAGGAAACCTCACATGATTTCACATCCCAAATTTATCAGAGGAACCAGAAAGAGAAAATGCAACTGTCTAATTAAAGTGCTGTTTTTAGGACAGGACACTTAAGCAGTATGAGCCCCCTCAGCCTGAATCAAATGCAACACAGCTTGCTTGAAGATTTTCAGGCAATTATGATCTGTCTATCCAGAAATAAAATAAATCAGGTTAGGCTTAAAGGTAATTAAGTATCAGAGACATGGTAAATTTTCCTTAGTAGTTGGTAACATGGAAAGATATTTAACCAGGTGCCAAACTCTGAAATTCTTGACCTTCTTTTCCTGTGGTAGAGAGAAGGTAGATACGTAGAAGACCCACTTCGACAATTGCATCCTATTTATCCTTGGGTTCTGTTCTGAAGGTTTGTTGCTCAGCTCTCAACTATCTAAGTTGAACCAGAATGAGCCAGAAGAGTTGTTTTGCAGAATAGAGGTCCATATGTCACACAAATATCTTCCTTCCTTTATCCTGGAGTTATAATATTATCTTGGCCTTAACAGTTAGCAACTCCAAGGCCAAACTGACTCCCAAGAAAACCACATAAAAAGAAAATTTGTCCTAATTTAGGTTTACTTTTTCTCTCAAATTAAGCTTTAGTCTCAATACTACGATCTAGTTGTGTCCTTGGGCTTGGACATCCATTCCAGCACATTCCATGAGCAGTAGTGTGAAAGAAGGAAATACGGAGCTCCTTCCTCCAAAAGTTTAGTGGCTATAGCCACTACCATTGCAAGGTAAAAACTTTGTACCATTTTTATATATGCCATAGGCATTTAGTGGCAGACCCACCACAGAGGTGGACATTAAATGTGATCTCACTGATTAAGGTGTACATTAATTACACATTCAACATGTGTGGAGCATGTTACTGTAGAATGGGTAAAGCTATTAAGGGTGATGATCACAGAAGCAATTGATTTTAAAATTGGAAAAAACCTTAGATGTGACTTAGTCCAACCATCTCATTTTAGAGACAAGGAAATTAAGATAAACATGTTTTCCAAGGCTTGATAGTGGCAAACCTGGAATGTGAAGCCAGATATCCACATTCTCAATTCCATACCTATTCTCTACTGACTCTGGAACACACGGGATTGTGTTTTGTGAAACTGTATTGTGATTGTTTTAACAGGTGTGCTACTAGACTATATATTCTTTAAGAAAGTATTCATCACTAACTTCTAGCATAGGATCCCAATAAATGTCTGTTAAAAATACCAATAAATGGGTGAATGAGTGCGACCTGTTTTCCTCCTCATGTACAAATAAATGCTGTTTAGTTGATCTCTGCTAGTGCATGGTCAGCCTCGTAATGAAGAAAGAGAGGATAGAAAGCTTGAAAAAATAGAATGAGAAGGCAAGAAGAGTAAATGGTGTATACAATTCAAGTAGGAATATAACCAGAAAAAATTCAGCATGCAGACAAAATTTCTAGATTCGATTTGGGAGCTTTTAATCAAGACTCTTGCCTATTCTGATCTCTCCCAGTTTTCAAATAAGGACTTTTAAGCAGATGGTGCTTTAAGCAGTTCTCATCATTGCTGCTCCCCCTCAGACCCCAGAACACAGGATGGACCACAAGTTAAGTTGTATAATAAGCAAAGTTGCTCTTGAGTGTATTTCGCCTCCCTCTGGTACATCTTCCCACCCATTTGGCACCCATTCCTAACCCATGCGGCTGCTGCTCTTATCACAGAGGAAAGTGCATGTAACTCAGTGTGGTCCTGTTTCTGGAATATTTCCCATTTAGGACGCACACCAGGAAATACAAAGAAAGACAACTTACATAGTGGATTTCAGACTCAGTGGCAAATGAGCAGAGGGGATGGATATACATGGACTGGGTTTTTCTCTCCTTACAAATCATCCAAGTCAATTAAAATGAAAGTGAGAAAATCCAGTTACCAACCCCCACTGTGAGCTTATATTGCTCCTGAACTGCTTACATGTTGTAAGTAATTTGGTACTAAATGATGCCTGTTTAAAAAAAAAGAATCAAAGGATTCGGGGTTCTAATTATAGCACACCGATGGTTTGGTACTAGAGAACTGTATCCACAATATAGGACATCAGTGGGCAGCATCTACTGGCTGGTGGGCTCTACCTAGAGAGTGGTTATCAGTGGCTACGTGTCAGGTTCTAGAAGAGCTGGCTATGCTCCCGTATGCCAGGAAGTCTAAATGGAAGGTACAAAATTTAGTCTTTTTTAGAAATGGTGCTGCACAGTTGCCAGATAACCTGGCAAGACCCAGTGCCCCTATGGAAAGACATTAAGGAGATAGGCAGTCATTGATTTAGATGGATTGGGTCCCCTTGACTAAAGCCAAGCATGGAGATCCAGCTTTTCATCCAATGCTCCCTTGAGCTGCTGAATTTTGGCAGACTCTTCCAGTCAGCACTACATCTTAACCACATCAGCCACTCTCCTCCTTCAGTGACTGTGATTCCCATCTTTTCCTTAAACATACCGAGCGCACTTCCACATTTGTGGTTTTGCCCTTTACATTTCCTCTTCCTGGAACACTTTCCTCTCCTATGGTCTGTTGAGCAAGTGGCATCTGTCTCCTATCACCAAAGGTAGAAGTCCCAGCACTTCTTCCCACTGTACCTTATTTGAATTGGCAAGAAAAACACAATACAGTCAAACACTGGATGGAGCATTACTTTACTCACATTGAGAAGAGACAGAACAAGATCAGCTCTAATAGTGAGCCTTGGTCCCCACGGCCAATGGGTCCTTCCTGGCAGCTAATTCAGAGCCCTTGGCCTACATGCAACCTGTTTTGTGATGCAGAACAAAGAACCCTGTCCACTCTTGGCAGGGGACAGATATAATAGTGGGTTTGGTCAGGTGTCATGTAACATGCATACTTAAGCAGAACAAAGGAGTACATATTGAGTCTGAAACAGGGAAAGATATTCCCACACAAGGCAATAGCCTGGAACAGGCTGTGAGGACTCCTTATCTCTTATTAAGGAAGTGTTCCAGGCTCAAGGCTCATTCTTAATGCAGCCAAGATGAGAGCTGGAAGACTGTACGCATGAGACTGTCTTTCCAATATGTTCCACCATAGCTTCTTCCTATTCCCACCGCACCGCCAACAACCGTCCCCTGTCCCCCACCCCCAGATTTTGCTCCTATTATCAAAGAGGCCTTCTCTGGCCAACCTTTATAAACACAGCCACCTAAAAATCTATGAAGACAGAAGCATTGGTTGTTTTGATAATTGCTGTATCGCCAGCATCTACAACAGTGAATGCACATAGTAGGTGTTCAATAAAAGTGTGTTGAAAAGATTGGTAACATGGGTCTTACAAAGGAAAAGTCTTGTCTCATGATGTCTGGAAATCAGTAAAGGAAAACTTTGCAGATGCTTTCCTAGACCAAGTAATTCACCTACACACTGCATCTAATTTACACTGAGAAACCCAACAAGTCTTAAAGAAAGTGATATGTCCAGGTAAGCAAGATAACACCATTATCATTCAGTTTCCATCAGGGCTCCAAGCAGCTTTAGAAAACCTGTCCTCTGATATACAGCACTAATTTGTGTCTTACGGAAAATCAAATAAATTATTTTTTTACCCGAAGGGAGCAGGATTATTTGACTTCAGATATTTGCCATATGGCTTCTCTTCCATTCAGCATAGCTCCTAGGCTTAAGGTAGTAAGAGTGAGAGCATGCCTATAAATTATTCAGAGATAATTCAAAATAAGTGTGTATCTTTGACAGATTGTCAAGTTTCTTAATGCTTCTTCCTGATAACAAGTGCTATGTTTTTGATAAAAGGTTGCTCGTTTCTCACCACACTTTATTGTTGTTCTGTGTATGTGTTTTGTTTGTTTTGTTTTGTTCATTATTATTGTTTGTTTTTGTTCCCCCCACAGAGTCCAGTCTGGCTCTTATCTCAGCACGGGGTGGTTTACCTTCATTCTGGCCATGGATGCCTGCTATGGCATTCACGTCTACGGGATGATAAATGACACCTACTGCAAGTAAGATCACAGGAAATTATTTTTATGCATCTCCAATTCTGATATCTTGTCAAAATATCACAATTCATTTTAATACCATAAATCCGAAAAACAGATAAAGCAACAATTATTTCCCGGTGCTCTTTGCTGACATGACATTTTATTGTCAGCACATCAAGTTGTGACTTTTAGGGGTGATAAAAAGAAAAATATTTACTACAATCTAATGTCAAATGTCAGAAGGAACATTTTTCCCTTAATCAGTGGCATATCAGGGATTTGTGGCTTGGAAATACAGAACAAGTTTAGTGGTTATTTAATTTGCAAAGCAAGTTTGTCATTTCTGCTGCTCTAAGGGCTTGATGGATAGCTAGCTACTCAATGGTTATATTTGATCATGAAGGACAAAATGTCCTGAAGCCTCAGAGAAGCTGACAGCTTAACAAGAATTCCTGGAAATTATATTTCACTAATAAGTGAGTAATCTGCCAGATACTTATTTAAAATGTGTATGTTTGTCCATAATATATCCTTGCTGGAGGGGTTGTTTCTAATTATTTAATAAAAAAAAAACCTTCCATGCTTCATCAAAGTAATGAAATGGATTTTCCTACTAAGAATTGGCATAATGTAATTCAGAGAATATTGTAATCATATTGTCCAAATGGTAACTAAACCACAATCTTCATGATCAAATATTTCTACCCTAACTATAAGTATAATGGAGCACAGATGAACCGAATATCTTACCCTGAAAAATTACAAAGCTTCTTCAAGCTCTGCAAGAGCATCAGGCTATCCAAAGTTTGCTTCCATTATATACCATTTCCTCCTTCAAGGGATAGGTATATGTTTGAATGCAATTGGTGTGATGTATAAATTTTATTTGATTTATTAAAGCACTAAGGGTCTGGTACATCTTCCTAAAAGCTTTTATACATAATAGCTTTTAACTGAGTTCATGGACAAGAATCATGCATGGATTTGCAAGTAAATGCATTTACTGGGCACATAATGGATTCTTGCAAATCACTGCTTCATTCTTCATCTTAATTCTTCTCTCCTTTTCTTTTCTTTCTTTTTTTTTTTTTTTGTTCTTTTTTAGGACAGAAGGATATAGAAAAGTCCCCTATCATTACTATGAACAAGGAAGAGATGAGTGTGATGAATATTTTCTTCATGAACATGCTCCATATGGGGGGCATAGGTTTATCACTGAAAAGAAAGTGTTTGCTAAATGGGCCAAGAAACACAGGATAATATTCACACACCCAAACTGGACAGTGTCTTGATGTTAGTTTTTCTGATCTTGACACAACACTTGACATGGTAATACCACAACTGTGATGATATTGATGCTAATGACGATGACGGTGATGACAAGGACAACAATGATGATCAAGTCTGTACATTCTCAGATATGGATGGTGACCCTGCCAGTAATTTGAACTTGGGATTTCATGGAGGGTGGTTGTGCTCTTTCCATTTATTCTGAAGGTTCAACATTACATATTGCACTTTATAATTTAACTGGAATTGAAATGAAGGCCAGTAACATGACAGCCGTGACCTAAGAAATGGGAAGATTATCCTTCAAGATAGCTGCCCAGTATTCTTGAACAGTGAATAACTTTCAAAAGCCATGGGATTTGGCCTCGTGAGACTAGGTTATTGACTCTATGGTCTCTTCAACTTGAGCAGCTCCACCATCTTGAATGGTTGATTGTCAAACACTGACCCAAGAAATTCTATCTGGGTACAAGTATTGTACCACACTTACTAGTTAGCCTAGAGGCAGTGAAGGAATCTTCCTGACATACCATGGTCCTAGAGTACCTCCTACAGCTGAAGCCTCAGGCCATTTCTTGATTAACAAGGGAGATATCATGGCCATCGTACCCATCAGGATTATTCAACAATTCAAACACTTAATTCAAAATGGGCCAACTAGCAAATCTTGATGGATTTCTGCTCCCACCACTCCATTCTCACTACCCCAAACAATATAACCTAACCTGGTACTAGAGTGATCTCTATTACTGTTTAGTTATTTTTGGTTGAGTCCTAAATATTTCAGAAAGCTATTTAACATGTAAGATACCAACACTGTAATAACATATACTGTGAAAACATTCTTAAAACATAACCAAAAGGGTTTACTAACTCTATTTCAACATCCAACAACACAAAAATATATGCTTTTTAAAATCATGAAACGAGGAAAGCAAAGCATATTTTTACATCAATTTGTATCCTACCATACTTCATAATATATATTTGTATATTCAAATTTCTATTTTATAGGCTCAAGATGCATCTCTCCATACATTACATTATCGTTGCCAAGTGCCAACTGTTAGACATGGAGAGGAGATGATTCCCTGTATTAAATCTGACCAGAACTTTTGCCTTCTTGGGGTTTATTTTCCCCACAGTGTATCAGTTGTTATACCATAATAACAACAATAATAATGACCTTAATGTCCAAAGTGCTTTGTCATGTAGAGTCCTCATACATATGCTGTCTCATGTGATGCCTGTGACCATCCATTGGGCTATTGCCTGCACATTCTGACATCTCCTTAGCAGATAAGCTGTAATTTGTTAATTGCTTTGATATATTCCAGATCTTCCCTTTGCTAATATTTGTATAGAATAGCATTTATGTAGACTAGTAACCAATTGATTTCAGTGCCAAATATAATACATCAGGATATGCAAAAAGTATCACAAGGATGGTCTTGGCCATACACTAGGACTCCTGTGAACGTAAGTACTTTTGATTTTTTTTTTAAATGACTCTTTTTAGGTATAGAAAAATGAGGAAGCAGGACAACAGGAGGGAATGAACGCAGAGAAATACAGTCTCCTGTCCCCATCTTGAGATGACATTGTTCTCCATATAGTCATTGTTCGTTAAATATTAGAGGACTGATTTGCTGAGAGAGTTGCTGAGAGATCAAAAATATCCTTGCAAATTATTCAAAAGATGCAGCCAAGCTTAACTTACAGAGAATGATTTGGAGGATGAGAGTGATGATACATTTCACCTTAAGAGGTCTTTACCATGCTAGGTCCCATGATTAGTTCTCATTAAATGAGCCATCTTGGACCAAAGCCTCTTTGCTGCTCTCTGCTGCCATTTTGATAACACCAATACATCCATGAAAATGACCAAACACCACGGTGGAACTGTTACTGTTGTTATTCTTCTGTTGTTTCCTCATATGGTTTTTAGTTCTGTGTATGTCAAGATTTTTTGAGCTAATGATGGATAGAATTGCCCATGCAAAGAAAAATAAACGGATGCAAACGTTAAAATTGTTATACAGACTGCTTAACCCCCTGTTGTGATATAGAAGTTCCACTTTTAAATATAAAGGAACATGTGATTCTCAGAATGATTCAGGGAATGACACAATTTATTTAGTTTTCTGGTAAATGCAGGGGTAAACCTATTTGTTTCAGTCCTTACCAAAAAGAAACTTTCAGCGCTTGCCTGCTCTCCTGTCTCTCTATGAAGAAGACTTAGCAGGAGACTTTGTAGTGGCCACAGCGCTCTGTGGCAGGAGTTGTTTGTAGCAGGCAGTGTTTCCTCTGGAGGGGTAGGGGTGGCCTCTCCTCTCCTTTCCTCTCCTCCCTCCCCTCCCTTCCCCCCTTTTTTTTTCTTAACTAAACCTCAATCCCACTTTTTATTGTCGTTGTCTCTCATCTCTTTTTTTCTAAAAGTGGGAAACAAAAACCATTATTCTCGATTTGAAGACCTAATTGGATGGTTTCCAGTGTAATCAGAATTTTGATAGAATCACATAGCTTATTTTTCTCTGCAGTCTTAATGTTCTCTGCTTCCATGTTCTGTATTTTTTGCCCTCGGCTTCCTAATTCCAGTGGAAATACAAAGTCTAATTTCTCTCATATTGAGAAACTTTTCATCCAAGAGTTACTGATAGAGAAGAGAACGACAAAGGAGCAATTCAAAATTGTCACACAAAGTTCTGGCCATTTCCACTAGTTCTAGTCAACTGAAAGGCTTCATCCAGCAGCTAAACATTGAAAAATTCAACTGAACTCTCTCTCACTGATGTATATGTATTCCAGGAGTTAACATCTGTAAAAAACAAACACGTTTCAATTCCATCCAATGCTCTAAACAAATGGACTATTGAAAATGGCCACAATTTGCTGAAATCAGCGTAAAAGCATGCAAGCTAGAAATAATAGAGTAAATATTATTTTTAATTATGCAGAATTTAGAAGAAAGCAAGGAAATTTTAAAAAGGGTTTTAATATGAACGTTTGAATCCTTTCTAAGTTAGCATAGTGATAAGTAGTGATTTATATTGTTATGATGGTAATGGAAATTATAAACCTTCTAGACTATGTTTTACCTTGCTATCAAACCTATCAAAGAAAAACCAAGGATGTTTGTATATATGCACAGAGTCCATGTGTGTGTGTGTGTGTGTTGTGTGTATGTTTAAATGCATACATGTAATCCTATATTTTTCAGTGATGTGTATGAATCACAGAAAACCTATTTTAGACTTCAATGAAATGTGTTGGTTTACATTTTGAATCCTGATGAAAAAATAAAGCAAAAGTCCAAATGAAACATACCAATTGTAAAGAGTACATAAAATAATATTCAATGGCTGGCCCATTGAAGAAAGAGAAGCTGCTTAACCTGGAACCGAGAACACAGATGCCACAGTCGTCAAAGATCAGACCCGCAAGTATAACCATCTGTATTGTAGGCTCTGACAATCACAGCTCTGCCAAAGTCACGTGGAAAAACACTACATCAAGCTGCACTCACACTGAAGTGAATGAACACTGACCCCCTTATTAAAATCAGCCTGTCTTTAGCGTAAGCAGAACTCAGATTTGCATGATTTTTATTATATGGTTAGAGAACTGTGACCATTGTGCGAAGAGAAAAATATATAAGGAGATGGTTCTTTGAAGATTTGGAATGAATCAGCCATTGTGAGAGCAAGAGTCTGAATTGGGGACTTTGCTGACCTTTCCAGAAGTATAAAGGCATCAGAAGAGAATCACTGGTTATTTCCTTAGAAAAAAGACAACACTAAGCACTTTACCTGGTGGTGTTAATTAGATGCTAATAGTAAGCTCAGCTTTAACTTTAATAAGCAAGATAATATAATCAGATGGTTTATTTATTTATTTTTTTTAGCATACCCATCTAGCGTTTAATGTGGCATGTCAAATGCAAAGAACAAACCGTGTTGTCCAGTGTCAGGTGTTTGCATGCCTTAGCACAAGTGATTTATAGTCCCAGAGACATGAGGGGGGGATAAAGATGCTTTCCCTGAACTGCATTTTTAAAAGTCAAGACCTCATCATTTTAATAGTATTCATAGATCCAGTGACTGAGGAAGCCAGTGCTAGCCTTTGTTAAGTATTCTAGACTTTCAGAGCTTCAAGGGGCTTTAGAGACTAGCCAATCCAACCCCTCTGTCTTGAAAAAAATAGACCTATAGAAGTGAAGTGACTTGTCCACAGCTCTAAAATAGACTAATGGCAATACTGAGAGTCAAATTCTTACCTCATGTCTCCTCTAATACTTTTTCCACTTCTATTTTTTTTTTTTTTAAAGAACAAAACGGTAGCTGGAAACATGCATAAAAGACTTACTGAAAAAGTCTATGCCTGGAATCCTAAGGCTCCAATTAGTGTTGATTCTACTTATGGTCAGAGAAATCCCTACACTGAAGTGCAGAAAGATTCACATAATTGAAAGAACATATCCCAGTAATTGTCCATATTCTCTGTTCTCTATGTTTATTGCTAAGACTACACCACATTCTTTTATCATGAATTCTAGGACTAATTTAGAGAATGTAAAAGTGAGTTTCTTGCTTCTTTGTTATTGAAGATGATCATGTCACTGATCCTCTTCTTCTAAGAGGTGTTGATTATGGAGGTTGATTGGTGGAACTGGTACATATTAATGTCGAAATATCCCCAGACCCCGTGACCTAATCTCTCACACCAGTTGGGCTGCCTGTATTAGTGAAATTATCCAACTGCACAGGCTGGTGAAATGCTACCCTTTGTTTTCTCATCCTCTCTGTACCACACAAGATCTTTGAGCCAGATACCCTCTGGGAAGATAAATCAAAGCCCCAAATGCCCCACACGACTTAATCACCATGCAAAACTGAAAGAGTTTTTTCTTTATAGTCCACTCATATGATACTGTTAGAAGTGGAGAATTTTGAAACTATAGTCACTAGGCTCTGAAAATGGTTTCTTTGACTCAGAGATAACA